GGGCAGGCAGTGGCAGATTTTGCCGTGGGAATTGAAACGAGGTATTAAGACTAGCCCTGAAGTGCCGGAAAAGAATATCGGCATAATGAAGGAAGCCTTTTCAATTAGGATAAAATTATGCAATTATAATAACCCTCAGTTTTGTTCAGCAAAGAGGGAAAGGGGTGAAAGGGGACGATTCCCCGTCGGCTGTATAATTAATCACCCAAAAGAAGAGGTGAAGAAGAAACAAAAGGGGGGATGGCAGATCATTGTAGAGAATTATTCTTTGGAACGGAGATTATCAGCCCGCAGGATTGCAAGTTTTCTTTAAGATTTATCGAAGAAAAGAAAACGACAGTGATGCCTTTGCCCAATGGATTATTTTGGAAAGCCAACAGGTTGCTGATTGGGTTACGCTTTTACGAGTTCGGGGGGTTGGGGGGGCGCTACTAGTAGGCCTGACTGTGTTACTTTTCCCCGGCTGTATATAACCTTTACTGTGTCGATGTGCTTTTTTCTCAAACAAAGAAACAGCTTTCTTGGGTCTATCTCTGGTCATTCGTCATTCACCTTTATAACACGGGTAAAACTGTGTAAGACTGTGGTCTTCCATTCATTTGCAATTTGTTCTGGGTCTCCTCTTCCTAACTTTATTATTCCTCATTATTAACATTATTCCTCCTTCTCCTTCTTCTCCCATCATCATCTTTATCATCAACATTGCTATAATCATCATTATCAGAAGCAGCAACAGCATCAAAAGCAGCAGTTTCATTATCATCACCATCATCCCCATCACCATCATCATCACCATCATTCTCTTCACATTACTTTCATCCGAAACTTCAGTCACTTTCCACCTCTCCACTTCTTCCATCCATTTTCTTTCCTTCTATATTCGCGCTGTATTCGGAGAAAGGAAATCATGGAATTGACTCAGAAATTTTGTGATTCCTCAATCGTCCCCGTACGTTCTGTTTTCCCCCCGTTTGAGAATAGAGATGAGAACCCCTGTGTCACGAGTCGGTCGGACATCGATTTTTTTTGGGCCAGGATTTTGTTTATTTTTTCCCCTTGTCCGCCCTGGATTATCTCGGATGTCTCCTGGGAGTGAGTTCCCTTGGTCTCAGACGTCCAGGAACCTGTAACTGTCTTATCCCCACCCCCCACCTCTCTCTC